AGCGTAAGCCTGGCTCCTCTCCTTCCTCCTCCCCGGTGGGTAAGAAGGCTTCTCTTTCTTCCTCGGCCCCTACTACTGACTCTATTGCTCCTTCCCCTCCCGTTTCGGTGGTTGCGCTCCCTGTTCCTGCTATGGAGGTTTCTTTGGCCCCTGCTTCCCTCTCGGTTGCTGCCCTTGCTGAGGTGCGCTCCCCTCTTTCTACTCCCCGTCTTCCTGCTGCTGTCCTTGAATGCTCCTCTCTGTTGTCTCCTCCTCTTCCTCCTCCTCTTCTTCCTCCTCCTCCTCCGGACCCCGCCCGCCTACCTCTGGTCTGTTCTCCCACTTCCTTCCCTCCGTCTGTGCTCAGTTTACCCATGCCCCCTAACCCTGACTTTGCTGACCCTGATCTTCTTTAACGTGCTGGGTTGCTCTTTCGCCTTTGTTTCTTCCTTGTTCTCTGTTGTTGTCCTTTCTCTTCTCGTCGATGTCCATTCTTCAATGGAACGTTCGAGGTTATTACGCCAATTTTCTCGAACTCCAACTTCTGATTTCGCAGTTTTCGCCCCTTTGTGTCTGTCTCCAGGAGCCGATGCTTGGTGCTCGTCCTGGTCGCTTTGGTGGCTATTCCTTTCTCTCCCCCCCCCCCCAGCTGTTGCTGGGGCTCCTAACTCTTCTGCTCTCTTGATTCGCTCTGATGTTCCCTTTGTCCCCTTACTTTTTCCTTCGCCTCTCCATTGTTCTGCTGCTCGTATCTTTGTGGGGAAATGGCACACAGTTTGTTCCATTTATCTCCCCCCGAGTGTCCCGCTCTCTCTTCCTGATTTGAAACACCTCCTAGACTCCTTGCCGGAGCCTGTGCTCCTGCTGGGTGACTTCAATTGTCGTCATTCTCTTTGGGGTGATGTTCTGAGGAACACCCGAGGTCACCTTCTTGAGCCGTTTATTCTCTCTTCTTCCCTGTCTCTTCTGAATTCTGGTAAGCCCGCACATTTGGACTCTAGAACTCGCACCCTTTCCTGTCTTGATCTTTCTCTTTGCTCGTCTTCTCTTTACTTACATTTCACGTGGCAGGTTCTTGATGACCTCCATGGCAGTGACCGTTTCCCCATCCTTGTTACCTTTTTCCTCTTTTCGGCCTACCCTCTCCTTTCCTAGGTGGCAGTTTGCTAAAGCGGACTGGAACCTATTTACCTTCAGTGCTGCTCTCTCTGACCTCTCCCTTCTGCCTCTCCCTCGCTCTCGCCTCCTTTTTCATGACACTGTTTTCGACGCTGCCCTCCACTCTATTCCTCGCTCTTCCTTTTGGAGTCCATGGAAGTGCGTTCCCTGGTGGAATGCAGACTGTGCTCGGGCTGTCCGCTGTAAGCGTACAGCCTGGAAGAAACACCGCAGACGGCCGATTCTTTTCTTTTCTATCGGAAAGCGAGTGCGGGGGCCCATTGAGCCATCCGTATGGCTAAACGTGAATGTCGGGCATCTTATGTCTTCACCATTACGTCTAAAACTCCTCTGCCACAGATCTGGAAGCGTATCTGCAAGATAGCGGGTATGTTCCTTCCCGATGTTTCACCAGTCCTTCACCTCATTGGTACTCTTGTGGCGGACCCGATGCAGGTAGCTACTGAACTGGGTTCCCACTTTTCATCTGTTAGGTCTGCTCTTCATCTTCCCCAATCTTTCCTTCTTTGTAAACCTGTCCTTGAATCACGTCCATTAGATTTCTACACTCGTCTTCGACTTCCCTATAACGATCCCTTCTCTCTCTCTGAATTTCGTTCTGCCCTGGCCCTCTGCGGTTCTACGGCAGCGGGCTCCGATGGCATTCATTATGAGATACTTTGCCATCTCCCTCCATGCATGTCTCAGTATTTACTGAGTCTATAATCTGTATAATCGGATCTGTATAATCGGATCTGGGAGTCGTCGTCAGTCCCTGAGGCTCGACAACAGCTCGATGCTGTTGTCCTCCCTGTTCGCAAACCAGGGTCTCTGGGAACATCCCCTAAGGACTTTCGCCCTATTGCCCTCACAAGTTGTGTCTGCAAACTCTTTGAACGTATGGTTAACGTTCGTCTGATGTGGTTCCTGGAACACCATCACCGCCTCTCCCCTTCTCAATTTGGTTTCCGCAAGTGCTGCAGCACAACAGATGTCCTGGTGAACTTGTAGGTCTATATTCGTACTGCTTTTGCTGCAAAGACCTCTGTTGTTGCCGTCCTTTTTTGACCTGGAAAAGGCTTAGACACCACATGGTGTTATCATCTTCTATCCCAGCTTCATTCTTTTGGCCTTCGTGGTCATCTCCTTCTCTTTCTCCGCAGCTTCCTCTCTCGTCGTTTCTTTCAGGTGAGGCTTGGTCCTTCCTCTCTGCCTCTTTTCAGCAATACGAAGGTGTGTCCCAAGGCAGTGTTCTGAACACTACTCTTTTTCTGGTTGCCCTCAATGGTCTTCTTTCCTCTCTTCCTTCAGGTGTCTTCTCCGCTCTCTATGTTGATGATCTAACCCTTTGCTGTCAGGGTGATGATTCGCCTCTCCTTCAACGCCGGCTTCAACTTGCGATTGATTCCGTGTCGTCTTGGGCCACCAATCATGGCTTCAAGTTCTCTTCTACTAAGACTTGTGCCATGACTTTTACTCGGAAACGGGTCGTTCTTCGTCCCTCTTTGTCACTTTATGGTCATCCCCTCGAGTACAAAGATTCTGCGAAGCTTTTGGGGTTATTCTTTGACACTCGTTTGTCTTGGTCTCCCCATATCTCTTACCTCCGTGTTGAGTGCACTAAGGCCCTTTCCCTCCTTCGGGTATTGTCTCATACTTCTTGGGGAGCGGATAGGCTCACTCTCCTTGCTTTACATTCCTCTCTCGTCCTGTCTAAGCTCGAATATGGTTGCCCTGCTTACTCATCTGCCTCTCCTTCTACTCTTCGCTGTCTTGATGCTTTGCACCATACTGGGTTGCGCCTCAGTTCTGGTGCCTTTCGTTCGACTCCCGTCCTCAGCTTGTATGGTGACACTGGCTTCCTGTCTCTCCAGGACCGCCGTGATCGCTACTGTCTTCGCTATGTTGCACGATCCTTGCAACATCCTTCCTCTCGCCTCTGTCGTGCTTTAACTTTTACCCCTCCTGCGGTTCCTGTTCCACTTCACCAACTCCCTCTTTTTGTCTGGTTATCTCGCTTACAGGATTCTCTTTCCATTCGTATTTCTAATATTTCTCCCCGTGTTGTTCCTTCTTTGCCCCCGTGGAGAGTCCCCCTTCCGCAGTTTTGTACATCCTTGACCCACATCACTAAAGCTTTTACCCCTCCTGTGGTTCTAAAATGCCTTTTCCTTGAGCACTTTTCTTCTCACTCGCACTCCGTTTCTGTCTTCACTGATGGGTCTAAGTCTGTGGACGGTGTTGGCTACTCTGTTGTTTTTCCTGATCACACTTATATGTGTCGCTTACCTCCGGAGACTAGCATCTTCACAGCGGAGCTTTATGCTGTTCTCTATGCTCTTCGTCTCCTGCTCTCTTGTTGTCAATCTTCCTTTGTAGTTGTTGTTGTTGACTCTCGTAGTGCCCTCATGGCTCTCGGGTCCTTTAATCCGGTTCATCCAGTGGTTGTCGAGATCCAGCATTGGCTGTTTCTTGTTCACAGTAAATTTAAGTCGGTTGAGTTTTGTTGGGTTCCCAGCCATATTGGTGTCTCTTTAAATGAGTGTGCGGATGCTGCCGCCAGGGAAACTGTCCACTCTTGTCCCATCTCTCGTAAAGGCACTCCTTATTCTGACTTTTACCCGATTATCCATTCCTCCATTCTTACCCGTTGGCAGGCTTGTTGGTCGTCTGCTACTGGTAACAAACTACGTTCTCTTAAAAGTTGTGTGTCCTCGTGGCCGTCCTCCTGCCATCGTAACCGGCGATGGGAAACGGCTCTGGCGAGTTTGTGTATTGGCCATACTCGCTTAACTCATGGTCACTTGATGGAGCGCCGCCCTGCTCCTTATTGTCCTAATTGCATTGTCCCTCTTACGGTCGTGCATATCCTTGTTGAGTGTCCTGCCTTCCGGGACGAGCATGTGTCTTGTTTTCCGACCGTCCCCCGTGGTCGCTTGTCTCTCGATAGTAATCTCGATGACTCGGATACCTTTGATATCGTTCGCCTTATGCGTTTCTGTTCTCATATTGGCGTCTTTGGTGATATTTAGCACCCTCTGATTATCCCGCACATTTGATGGTGCTACATAACCTTCCCGGTTTGGTGCCTTCTTTTTGATAATTACTTACTAACTTGTATACGTCATACAACCGGAATTCTACTGAAATCACAGGAAGTCTGGAGGTCCCAACTGAAGCCAGCCCAAGTGTTAACGTCTGACCCACAAGCAGTCGGGTGGCAGGGCAGAGTGACCCACACCTCACGCCCCAACTTCACAAACACCTGAGTGCTTGTGGGTCGTGGACTGGCTTCAGTAGGGGCACTGGAGATGCTTTTAGAACCAAAAGGGAAGAAGTACAACAAAGTTTGGTAATGACTGTTCCAACTAACTGCCAGATTCAGACAATGGAAAACCAAAGGAGCAGCAACAGGCGCATTATACACGACTATAAATTAATGTTTCAGCTGTGTTATCCAGCTGTCAGTAATTAGCGGCCAAGAGTCAAACTCTGCGGCTTCTGCAGCAGCTGCTGAGATGCATGTGTGCCAGATCCGACTGCTGCATCGAGTGCATCTGCTTCAGGGAAATATAGATAGAATATTATCAGGAGAAAGCGCTAAGCCAGTTCCATTATACAGTAAATGGAAAGGATATAAAAACAGGATGGGAGCTAGGATATACACATGAACGGGAAGGAGCGAACCCCACAAAACGTGCACCATCCCATACACAATCCTCGATAAAAATTAAAACCAAAATGCCACGAAGTTGCACTGCAAAATCTTATACACCATAATTATGCCACAGGACACGCTAGATATTGTCACAAGCTATCAACGGAAGGCTTGCTTACTTATCATTGTGACTCTCCTGTTGCAGGCTACGGGCGAGGCGGCACCCAGAGCTTCAAGTATGAGAAGTAGAGCGGGCAGGGGAAGCGACATCTGCGCGGGCCCTCACACCGCCCTCAAGGGCTAACCTTACCTCCTGCTGGCCCTCAAGGGCTAACCTCACCTCCTGCTGGCCCTCAAGGGCTAACCTTACCTCCTGCTGGCCCTCAAACGCTAACCTCACCTCCTGCTGGCCTCTGCAATGCTTTCCTTGCTCTTTGCTCTCTCGTCAGAGGCATCAACATGTGTAGTATGTAACCACATGTAGTGTGGTCACATACTACATGTGGCTACATACTACAACCTAACCATCCGATCTAACTGTTGTGACAGTATCAGTGTTTTTCTTTATTGCATCATACATCATCATTAAATAACTAGTGTTTAATTGATGGATTAAACTTTAGATGTCACGACTTTAGATGTCACTAAGTTAATGCCAACCTCGATTCATTAATGTTCAGCACGCACCCACCGGCAATTACTGTTAAAATTTATGTGAGTCCAACTTTAACACATAGGCGCTTGCTAAGCACATGTATCTTCTGATTCTGAGAATACGTTACAATAATGTAGCTGAAAACCAATAATTAAAGCCACTCATGTATACGCATGTTACATGTATATATGTGTACTTACATATATACATTTGTTAAATATGTTTTCTCTCTGCATTCAGGCAACTGGTTCAAAACAATGTGCATTGGTTGTTGATTGTGTTGTACTCCAGTGAATAAAGAACTACAACAATTTCAAGGTGTATTAAACTTTCCTTAAATTGAACAGCTTCTCTACACAAGGGATTGTGTGTAGAACACAAGCTGTTATTAAACTGCCTGTTACGGAGGCCAAGGCTCGCCTATTGGTTGGCGGATTGTATGCAAGGAGCTAGGCGGGGACTTTACACAAGGCTAGGAGCTAGGTGGGGACTTTACACAAGGCTAGGAGCTAGGTGGGGACTTTACACAAGGCTAGGAGCTAGGTGGGGACTTTACACAAGGCTAGGAGCTAGGCGGGGACTTGCCACAAGGTTAGGAGCTAGGCGGGGACTTGCCACAAGGCTAGGAGCTAGGTGGGGACTTAACACAAGGCTAGGAGCTTGGTGGGGACTTGCCACAAGGCTAGGAGCTAGGCGGGGACTTGCCACAAGGCTAGGAGCTAGGTGGGGACTTTACACAAGGCTAGGAGCTTGGTGGGGACTTGCCACAAGGCTAGGAGCTTGGTGGGGACTTGCCACAAGGCTAGGAGCTAGGTGGGGGACTTTGGGGACACAAGGCTAGGAGCTTGGTGGGGACTTGCCACAAGGCTAGGAGCTTGGTGGGGACTTGCCACAAGGCTAGGAGCTTGGTGGGGACTTGCCACAAGGCTAGGAGCTAGGCGGGGACTTGCCACAAGGCTAGGAGCTTGGTGGGGACTTGCCACAAGGCTAGGAGCTAGGCGGGGACTTGCCACAAGGCTAGGAGCTAGGTGGGGGACCACCACTATCACCCCTCACCACCACTATTACTCTTCACCAGCACCACTCCCATTCCGTACACCACCAATACCAACACTATACCCATCAGCTGGTAGACGAGGGTAAAAGATCTTGGAGAAGTCATATCACCGAGACTCTGGATGCACATCAATACAGTCACATTAGCTTGCGTTGGCTAAACTGGCCTACATTCAGACAGCCTTCAGCAACCTTAGCAAGGACACGACCTAAATCTCATGTATATCATACGTCTGATCAGAGCTTGGGCCAGATTCACGAAGCAGTTACGTACGTACGTACTTACGAATGTTTTTCTTCTTAACACCTTCGTAGCAACTACATTAGTATTAAGGTAAGCATTTAAGAAGGAAAATCTTCGTAAGTACACCGCCTCGATTTAAGGACGGCCTCGACCACTCGTAGCCTTACGTGAACTGGATATAACTCATTTTTTCTCTACTGCACAACACGGAGGATAGCTTTCCTTATAAACAAAACATTTTAGCTGTTTATTTTAGCAGAGTTTCAAAACGGAGTCCTTCATGTTAACTATTAACTATATATGCATTCTCTGCTTGAAACTTGTAGTAAATATGTCTTTTATGATATTAGAATTAGTTTTATAATAGCAAGATATTATATCAGTAGTTATTAAGTAAATAAACACTGGTGAACATAAAATATGAGAGGTGATGAACCTGGGCTGGTGGGAGCATTTCTATCACCAAATGCTCCTGTTCACCTAGTAATAAGTATAGCTAGGGGTGTACCTTAGCTATTCACACCCCTTTTTAATTTTTGTTTCGTTTTATTTTTAAATTAAATCTGGATGAGACATAAAAGAAAAATATGCTTCCAAAATGATCTTGAAATTGAAATTGAAATAAGTTTATTGAGGTAAAATACACACAAAGGGATGAGGTAGCTCAAGCTATTCTCACCCCGTTCAGTACATCGTGTTAATACATACATATAAACACATCACAAACAATAAACATATTACCAAACATTCTGAGAGATAAACATCTACATTTCGACCTTTACACAAGTTGTATGGTACCAGACGTACACAAATACTTTAATGACCTAGTTATACTGTATAGACAATTTGCAAGAGACATTCAACAAAAAATTACAGTCTTGGTGCAAAATTCTTATATCTCTCAAGAATGTCATCAACCTTTCCGTTGTGACACATCCAGGCTATTTGTTCAGGAACAGTCCTTATCTCAGTGTTTCTATATACATTAATCAACGGACAATCAAGAACATAATGGGCAAGGGTGTGAGACCTTAACAAACCACATAGTTTACACCTCGTGTCATTATCATGAACACCTATCCCATCAAATGATCTTAGGTAAGGAAAAGGGTAAAAACTTCAAAAACTTTTCTAATTGAATACTTAAACCTATAATTATGACTATATGAACTATTATGGCCGGTTAAAAATGAGAGGGGGGAAGTAGGGATCCAAGACCTCTTGTCTTGTGCATGAAGTATTCAATATGGTATCCTTCAGCAGCCAGCACATCTGCTCGTTCATTCCCACATATTCCAACATGGGAGGGGATCCACAGAAACTTGATGACTCTTCCCTGATTGGTAAGTACTCTCACAGCTCTCATAATTTCAGCGACTATTGCAAGATTTTCTGCCCGATTTTTACTTAGGCTTTGCAGTGCTGCTTTTGAATCGGTGCAAATCACTGCACCATTAGTGTTCAGTTCAAGAAACCTTAACGCCATAACAATGGCAGTTAGCTCTGCTTGTGTTGAAGAGGCATAGTTCTCAATACGTGCTTTTTCTTCATTTCTGCGTTGGAAAGTATTATCCTTGATTAACGTGTATGCTGCACCAACCCTACCATTGAAAGGATTAGATGACCCGTCGGTGTAGATTTGATCTAGTTCATCTCCAGCTTCTTTATAAATTTCCTTGAGATACTTGTGCCTCATTTCTTGTGGTATCATGTTGGATTTTTTCGTTGCCATTTCATTGAAGATGATCTTGCATGAGTCATCCTCCCAGGGAGGTAACCTCTCTACAGGCAGGAGCTCACGGGATTGCTCAAGCAGGTGAAACTCTTCGAAGTAGCAGACTGATCTGGAATGCCATTTTTTGCTTCTCCTGTTTCCCCCTGAAAGTAGCACAGAGCTTAGTTTTTTCTTAGCAATATCATTGAAATGGGGATCTCTGGCTATCCTAATTGCAAACGTAGCATTCAGCTCCTGAATTCTGCTTTTAACACTGGGGAGGGACAACTCCTCTCGTAGATTAGACATTTTGGCAGTCCTTGGAACTCCAAGAATGATTGTCATGGCTTCATTTTGAATGCTTTCAAGCCTTTTCATATCGCTTTGGGAGTAGGTGCAGAGAACTGGTGCGGCATAGTCTATGACGGAGCGCACATAGGCTGTGTACATCATTTTAAGCACGGCAATAGAGGCTCCATGTCCTTTCCAGGTCATAGCTTTCAGTGCCCTGAGTCGACTTTTGCATGTTCCTATGAGTTGATTGAGCTTTCTTTCCCTTGTTAGAGCCGACAGTGACGCCAAGGTACCGATAGTGGTCAACCCATTCAAGTGTTACAGCATTAATTTGCAGTTCTTCATTTGCTCTCCGCTTGTGATGGGAGTATGCCTTCGTCTTGTTTGTGGAGTGAAACCGAGCTCAATACATTTCCTTCTAAGGAGTTCAATGGACTGTTTAATTTTTCCCAGGGTGGGAGCTTGTATTAGGACATCATCTGCATATCCCACTTGTTGTGTTCCTTCCGGAAAATCAATATTTGCAATGGCGTTCATAAGTACATTGAATAGTGTAGGGCTTAAGACTCCGCCTTGGGGGGGTCCCGAGTTCCATATTCATTGTTCTGGAGACTGCTCCATTGAAGCAAACCATGGTTTTCCATCCTGTGAGGTAGTCTTCAACCCATTTCATGAGTCTCCCCTTGACACCCATGCATGCAAGCTCGTCCAGGATCGAAACCCCCTGTGCTTTGTCGAAGGCTCGTTTGATGTCAACAAATACAGAGTACCTAGTCGTGTCATTAGCCAAGTAATTAACTATACAATTTGCTGTGCTCCGTCCTTTAACAAATCCATTGACCCACTCCCCTAACCTGCCTATTTTGTGCAACAGTCGGTTAAGGATGATCCTTTCAAGCAGCTTGCAAGTGCATAACACGAGACTGATAGGTCTGTAATTACCAGGGTCATTAGGCTTCGGTATGGGAACAATTATTGCGTGTTTCCATTGTGTGGGCAACACTCCACTTAGGAATGACTTGTTAAACAGGTGGAGTAGTGGATTCCCACACACTTCACACAGTGCATTGAGTATGTCGTAGGTGACGCCATCTTCACCAGGTGCTGTACTTTTACCCTTTTTCATAGCGCCCCTTACTTCTTGGGCTGTGATTGGTTCCCCATATTCATCATCACTAGACAGTGCTCTTGTTATCCTAATTCTTCTGTCATCATGTCGCTGTCATGTGTGGAGTGTTGTCATGTGTGGTAGTGTGGTGTGTCATGTGTGGTAGTATGGAGTGTTGTCATGTGTGGTAGTGTGGTGTGTTGTCATGTGTGGTAGTGCGATGTGTTGTCATGTGTGGTAGTGTTGTCATGTGTGGTAGTGTGGTGTGTTGTCATGTGTTGTAGTGTGGAGTGTTTTCATGTGTGGTAGTGTGGTAGTGTTGTCATGTGTGGTAGTGTGGAGTGTTGTCATGTGTGGTAGTGTGGAGTGTTGTCATGTGTGGTAGTGTGGTGTGTTGTCATGTGTTGTAGTGTGGAGTGTTTTCATGTGTGGTAGTGTGGAGTGTTGTCATGTGTGGTAGTGTGGAGTGTTGTCATGTGTGGTAGTGTGGAGTGTTGTCATGTGTGGTAGTGTATGTGTGGTAGTGTGGAGTGTTGTCATGTGTGGTAGTGTGGTGTGTTGTCATGTGTGGTAGTGTGGAGTGTTGTCATGTGTGGTAGTGTGGAGTGTTGTCATGTGTGGTAGTGTGGTGTGTTGTCATGTGTGGTAGTGTGGAGTGTTGTCATGTGTGGTAGTGTGGAGTGTTGTCATGTGTGGTAGTATGGAGTGTTGTCATGTGTGGTAGTATGGAGTGTTGTCATGTGTGGTAGTGTGGAGTGTTGTCATGTGTGGTAGTGTGGTGTGTTGTCATGTGTGGTAGTGTGGAGTGTTGTCATGTGTGGTAGTGTGGAGTGTTGTCATGTGTGGTAGTGTGGTGTGTTGTCATGTGTGGTAGTGTGGAGTGTTGTCATGTGTGGT